CCCCCAAGCTATCATAGTTTCTTTAACTTGTTCTTCCTTCAACTTAACCTCTAGTGTAGCAGCAGATTTAGGCTTTTGGCCAAATTGGCTTACGAAAGAAACAGGACTCGAGACCACGAAGGTGCAAGAGAGACAGGTTTATTGATGCATCGAGTTCAGCATGTTTGCACACCAAAATCTGAACTGTCCGGGCTATGCCCCGGGAAGTGATTTTATACCTTAAATCAAACTTCGTCAATCAGAAGGCGTTTCAGAAGGCGTATACATACAAAACGTAAAAAGCCCCTTTAGAACAGGGAAGTACATTTTGGAAAAATACAAAAGCAGAATTTCAAACCAAAAAACAGGAAAGCAAAGTGCTAAGTTCGTACAAACAGTTTTCTGCAACTTCTCTGTTCTAGTATCTTCCACCCACAGTGATTTCCTGTGCCCATCCTTGTACAGTATCTTGTTCCAGTAAGATTTGTAATACTTATGAGGAAGTAAGAAATCAAAATGTATCAAGGTTAATTCAAAGCCTATAATATTGATCAAGCAAGCTAGGGTCTCTTGACCACGGGGCAGCCAGTTTACCTGTGCAACCCCTCCTGCCTCACTAGTAAGTGTCCATATAATTTTTTAATTACTTTTTCATCAGTACCTGTCAAAATTTTGTCTAATTCAGTCATTTTATCATACAAACCTTCCATTTTACGGTCTTTGTCACATCTAGATTGTATTTGCACATATGAAAACCAATTCATTCCTATTCCTTCCTGTTTCAGCTCTTGTATAGTTTTTTCACCCTCTGCATTCAGTATTTCACTATATCTAACTGTTCCTTTTTGTATATTATTGGATATGAAAAAGCTTCAATAGTTGATAGCCAGTGGGCTTCCGGTGGCGCCGTGCAGCCTGACGAGCATCTCTTTTGAGAGGCTTCAGTCCCGAGATCATGTTACACTGTTTGGACAGCGTATATCAACTGTCTGACAGTTTGATAACCCTTTCCTCAGGAAAAGAGGAAAGGGGGGAGCTGCTGAGCATGGGTAGAGCTTCATTAACCCCCCCAGGAGATAATTCTGGGGTGTGGAAGGTGTGAGCCCCCCTGTAGCTCAGCACACTCCACGCCTGGGATTCATCTGCTCTGCATCAATGTTTGATTTACATCTGAGCAAGAAGCAGGCAGAGCAAATATCAGAGAGTTCACAATTGCAGGTACATTTAAACTTTAGCTCCGTTTTACAAAACTCCTTCTGTTAAATCTACCAAGACAGAAGTCAAAATGGCACCAGAATTTTGAAGGTGGGGCTGAACCGAAACTTAACAAACTACTACAGAGTTTAAGATCACTTAAAACAGCATTGATTTATTAACAAGTTACAAGTAATAATTGGAATAAGCGGTTTGTTTGGACTTACCAATTTGGTGGAAGATAAGCTTAATTGAATACTAGAAATGACCTCAAAACAATTTAAAACAACAACGACTTCAAAGAGTGCTGGCAGCTCTCCAGCCCGACAAATAAATTATAGTCATTATTACCTCCCCCTCCCCCTGCTCCTGCTGTTCCTGCTGCAGAGATTTTAACTCTGGATGTGCTGCAAAAAGCCTTAAAAGACGCCTTAACAGAGCAGGCTGTTGCTTTAGAACGTAAGATACAGGAAAATGTTTCATCTGCCTTTAAGGAGGTCTCGGAGGAAATTTCGGGGGTCAAAGAGCTAATCCAGATTCGCAACCAGGAAATAAGAGAAGATATTCTGGAAGCATTTAAAGGTTTGTCTAGCTATGTATCATCAGAGTGGAAGAAATTAATCAGTCCAAGGTCAATTTAGCAAATAAGGTTGAAGGGGTCCAAAACAAAATTGACAACACAGAAGCAGAAATTGTAATGTTACAATATAGAGCGATGGGATTTTCTTTGAGAATAAGAGGCCTCAAAGAGAATAATCAAGAAAATCTGAGGGAGATTCTATCAGAAGCCTTTGATTAACTAGTCGGTCATCCGAGAGCGGACTACGATTGGCAAATGGACAAAATATACTGCGTTAATTCATGGATTGCCAGACAGAAACAACTACCAAGAGACATTG